TCTGCTTTCCCTTTATCGTCCACCTCATAATTTTACATCTTTTTCCATTTCTGCTTAATAGTGCCGCTACCTCACACGTCATTCTTATGGTTTTCTCTTTCTGTCTGCGAGAGGCACCGAATCCCCACTTGAGCCTCCCCGATGACGTAGATGAATTAAGAAAGTCACTGTGTGGGGACACACTGCACTACTGGGCCTTCCAGAGGCACTGCACACACGAAAAAGATAAACCATTTCTTGGACTCAACTAATACAATGCAACATTTCAACATAATTTTCACAAACTTGCTAACTGATAGTGAGCACTGAATCAAAATGCAATGTATGTTTTTTTCCTGACCTGGTGCTTTTTAATCATTTCAGATTCTCATTCTGTTCAAAAACGATAAAATATCTGTCAATGTTTTATACCACTTGCACTTCACTATTTATTATGAAATACAGAGCAAGGTACAACTACATCACTATTATGGGAGTGTGAGTGGACCCTCTAGTGTTTCCATACTAAGATCATATATCACACAAGCAGCAAAAGCTGCAGCTCTGCCACACTGCAGGTCATCAGATGTTGCCAGACATCATTTGTAAATCCAGCTCTCAACAGTAATGCTAAATTTGGTCAGTAGCGAGACAGGGTGTCAATAAATATCCCTATTTGCCCTCTAGGTAGGCATCTTTCCTCCAAGACATCTATACCCCTACAATGCTTCACAAACCACCCTCTTTCTGCACTGTTAGTCCACATTCAGCAGACCACTGGACGCTCACAGCGAACGTGCCGCAGGAAATTGCAGCCAGAGGTTCTGATTTTCCATTCACAAAGATCGATGGATGGAAATCCACAGCTCATTGGCCCTCAACGTAATCCCACAAATGCAGCTTCCTGAAAGAACAAAATCATAGATCAGCCTTTACCAGCTGAGTGAAGAGTATTTCCAAAGGATCCTCTACACCCCTCCATCACCACATGGACGTTTACTGTATTCAGCCACCATGTCTTCATATTTTTCTCACGTGGCTCCCTTAAAGTTGGGCTGGATTTTACACTCCTCCATTGGTGTGTTTGAAGGCAGCGGGTTCTTGTAAAATCCATTAGGTGGCCTGCCTGCTTCATACCGGTTTAACATTTTTCAAGGATGGCCCCAGGTGAGTCACTCATGTTTGGCCCTATTGAGACCCTCAAGTGGCCAATTGATGTGTGACATAATGACCTCATCCCAGTGCTGGTGGTATTTTACGTAGTGAGGGAAGGCACTTTCTTGGAGGAAAACCAACAGCTATGTGGTCTGCTGGTGAATAATATTGGGGGAAAATCTCTTGGCCTCATGCACATCAACAGCCAACTCTTTTCCATGGCTTCTCGAACCCGGCCATCTCCTTAAACCACCTCACAGTGACCTCTGAGCAGAACTTATCTGAACTCCTCAGCATTAGGAACTGCCTGTTGTTCCAGCAGCAGCCACTGCCCCTAGCTGGCACTGCTCATACTACAGCTACTGGCCAGCCCATTGGGCAGCATCTCTTGGACATGTTCCAGGGAAAGGAGCAGAAATGTCACCTTCACACTGCTCCCAGGTGAGCTCCTCCCTGACTGTGTTTTCATGACTGAGACACGAATTATGGCACTCTGTAAACTTCAGCCCTTGTGAACCACCACCATATGCTTACTCTTGGCCTAGTCTCAGTAAAATCAAACCACAAACAAAATCAAAAGGCTCGTCTCCACATTCTTACCTTGACACTGTTCTTAGATACGATCTAACTTCTATAACCTAATTAACTCAAAAATTGTACTTCAGTGTCCTGTAATGATATAACTCATAAATCCGTTCAGGAGAAACCTTTTAGACCCAGAGAATGGTTAGGGTGTGGGAGTTGCTACCACTTGGAGGAGTCTCGTCCATTCCACAGCAATTGACACTTCTCTCCCAACACTCTCAGGGTGTAACTCTCAACAACAGGTATGACATTTATCCAAACTACACTGCAACACTGTCCTTTCCCAGTAAAGTCAAGAAACAGCTGAACAGCTCCGAGACTCCAGTATAACATTATATAGACTTGGAAAGACTGTTACAATACCAACAGCCCATCTGCTCCATCAGTCTATTGCCTCTAACTCCATCTCCCTACTTTCCCTTGAAATGCACCTTAGCCATCTGCCTCACTCCTCCAAGTGGTAGCAACTCTCACACCCTAACCATTCTCTGGGTTTAAATGGTTTCTTCTGAACGGATTTATGAATTATATCATTACAGGGCGCTGAAGTACAATTTTCGAATTAATTAGGTCGTTGAAGTTACGTCGTATCTCAGAGTAGTGTCAAGGTAATGGTGAAAGGCAAAAAAAAGTAATCCTCGCCAGATTTAAGTGCGAGAAACACTTGGCACTGCAAAAATTGGCGAAGTTTTATTCACACTTTAGAACAAAATATATACTGGGGTTAGACCTGAATCTGTAACAGGGAAATAACAAAGTAACAGACGGCGATTACTGCTAATAATCAGAATACACGAATCAGATATTAATAATCAACTGAAGTGTTGAAAGGTATTGAAATAAACAGAATCTTCCTCCCTAAAAACAAAGTTGTTTACTCACAATGACACCCGGGTAATATCCTCCAACTGAAACGTTCAGAGTTCTTGTAGTGGCTGCCAAGCCGACAGTCAGAATCAACACTGAGGCGATAAGAAGGGCACCGGTCACCAGGATAGAAGCTTTCTTCCTTTTATTGAACAACCCTGTGTAAAAGATATAGCAATCAGTTCCCGTTAGAGACAGAAAAAAAAAACACCCCAGAACTGGAAGGAGCGGTCATTACAACATGTTGGTAAAACATTTTCTCTCTCACACACACACACGGGCAGTGTATGCATGTGGGCTGCGATTAGGTGAATTAAGTCTAATTTCCCGTGGCAATGGACAAAGCTGGCTGTTTGCTTACCCACAGAGTCGTGCAGCGTCAATGCACTTTGCTGCTGACTCAGTGACCGCTGCATCCTGAGTTGCTCAGACCGCACCTCTCCCCAAACCTCCACAAATACAGCACAGTCAGGCCATGTTGTCCCTTTACTCCCTCCACCCTCCCGACGCCTGTGTTCCTCCCTCCAGGAGAATGGGAATTGCTGACTGCACGGTTCGATCCCACCCACAGCCGCTCACTGCTACACCGTCTGTGGGCGTCAGCGCATGCGTCAGGATTCCCTTGGCATTGAGCCTCCCCCAGCGTTGAGCTCAACCCCTGGGCTCCGGGCTTGAATTGGGCGAAATATTGGACACCACCCCCACCCCCTCCACTTCAATGCTCCACTGGGACAACATCTCCCCCCCAGCCCTCCCAGTTCTGCTGTCCCGGGGTGGAGGGGAACAAAGGCACCGCCTGCCTTCTCAGCATCGCAGCTACAACGATCTCCTTTAATTCTAAACTTTAAGAACATTGCCCCTTCAGTCAATCAGCTGTTACATCTATCCCGGTTGCAGGAAAGAAATCCCGTCACAAACTGATCGATTCAATGTGACACAAGTGAAATCAGAAATGACGAAAGGTTTAATGGGGGAAACGAAGTGGGTGTTTGGAAATAACACCATGCCCTTGCAGAGAACATTTTTTGCAAGCAAGTTAACTCCAGGTCTCTTTAATGCAGAAAAGGCACACAGCGATGTTTCTGCAAAATAAGCAGAAACAATACTGTTCTCAGGATGTGTGTGGATTACATTTATTGCATATCCTTTAGTTGCCCTGGCTCGCAGCTGGTAAGGCTTCTCCTTGAACTGTTGCAGTCCTTATGTTGCCATCAACACGTGAGTTGGGAAATTCCAGGATATTGACCCAGCCGGGATGCAGGAACAGCAGCGGATCTCTAAGGCAGGAAGGCATGCTGCTCACCGGGGAACTTGGAGGTTACAATGTTCCCACAACATTGCCGAGCCTGTCCTTGTCAGCAAAACGATTTACTGCTGAGGTAACATTGGCGGAGTGCTGCAGTGCACCCTTTGTAGATTTTACACAGTGCAACTTTCTGAGTGATAATGCATCCCAGATAACTTAGAATGCAGCGACTGCTTTTATTCTCAAATGGCCGTTCTGGTAATTTAATTCCGCGATGAATTGTTATTCTACCACATTTTAACCTGTCCCATAGTACGTGGTGATGTAGGAAGGTCATCAATCAATCATACCATTGTATCCTGCATTTTGCAAAACATTGCAGCTAAGCATATCCAGGTCATTGGTGAAAATTACAGAACCATAGAATCATTTACGACATCGAAATAGGCTATTCGGCTATCTTATCCATACGCGTCAACCCTATAAGCAATTAGAAGCAAGAGTAGGCTAGTCACTCCCTTAAGCCTGTTCCACCATTCAGTAAGATCATGTCCATTCTGATTACTGCGCACTCCTGTACTCAGATAACTTTTCACCACCTTACTTACCAACAATCTAATTCTGCCTTAAAAGTATCCAGAAAAAAGCGAAATACTGCAGATACTGGAAATTCGAAACAAACACAGAATGCTATAAAAACTCAGCAGGTCTGGCAGCATCTGTGGAGAGAGAAACAGAGTTAACATTTATGACTCTCCTTAAGAACTGAAAGGAGTTGGAAGTTTTTATTTAATGTTCTTTTGACAGAGATGGAGGGGGAGCAAGAGGGCAGACGGTGGCGAGGCCCAGTGCAAATAAAGGGGATTAATGGTGGTGACAGAGAAAAAGAGATGTGGAATGGGTGCGAACCCTTCCAGGTGGCCCTCAGTGGTTAGCACTGCTGCCTCACAGCGCCAGGGACCTGGGTTCAATTCCACCCTCGGGTGACTGTCTGTATGGAGTTTGCACATTCTCTGTGTGTCAGCGTGGGTTTGCTCTGGTTTCCTCCCACAGTCCAAAGATGTGCAGGTTAGGTGGATTGGCCATGCTAAATTGCCCATAGTACCTAGGGATGTGTAGATTAGCTGGGTAATAGAGATGGGTCTGGGTGGGATGCTCTGAGGGTCAGTGTGGACTTGTTGGGCCAGAGGGCTTGTTTCCACATTGTCGGGATTCTTAAAAAAAAATTAAGTTATGAAATGGAGGTATCAAGTCCTCCCTATTAAGAGTAAAGTAAACAAGTCGAGACAGTGTGGAGCTGGAGGAACACAGGTTTTTTTCTGAGGGATCCCGACCAAAATGTTAACTTTCCTGCTCCTCTGATGCTGCCTGGCCAGCTGTGTTCCTCCAGCTTCACACTGTTGTCTCTGACTCCAGCATCGGCAGTTCTTGCTACCACAAACGAGTCAAGGCTGTGTTGTGGTGAGGAGAGAATGTAAATAAAATGGAGAACAGACATAGTGAGGTTGGTTTCTGAAGTTATGGAAATCACTGTTGAGATGGAGTGCTGAACTGGAAAATGAGGTGTTGTTTCTGGAGCTTGCGTTGTACTTCATTTGAACTTTGCAGCAGGACAGAAATTTTAACAATGCAACTATCTCACCAGCTTATTTTTTAACAATCCGAGGATGAAGACCAACCGGAGCCGGTGGCTAGTCAGCCCACAGTTTCAACAATTTTCTCAGTACCACTTTCCCACTGATTGTAATTTTCTCTGAGTACCTCCCTTCCTTCCTTCCATTTTCAGATTTAAAGCTATTTCTGGCATGTTACTTTTATCCTCAATAGTGAAAATTGATGCAAAATACCATCTTCTTATTTCTATTAATTCCTCAAACTCTATCTATGTTAGGTTATAAGGTTTAGAGGAGGAATAGAGAGAACGGCAAAGCGGGTGATGTAGCATTAATGATTACAAACTTCTATGGTGAGGGAGGATGTAATGAGGGGAAAGCACTCTATGGGTGGAACTGAGGTACAGGAAAGGAACTAAAACCACAATAGATGTCATATCTCCCACTTCCTACAGACAAAGGCCGTGGTCATGGGTACCCGCATGGGCCCAAGCTATGCCTGCCTCTTTGTAGGATACGTGGAATAATCCCTCTTCCAAAGCTACACTGGCCCTATCCCCCACCTCTTCCTCCGTAACAACGATGACTGTATCGCCACCGCCTCGTGCTCCCTGAGGAGCTCGAACAGTTCATCCACTTCACTAACACCTTCCACCCCAACCTTAAGTTCACCTGGACCATCTCTGATACCTCTCCCTCCTTCCTGGACCTCTCTGTCTCCATCTCTGGCATCCACCTGGAAACCGATATCCATTTCAAACCTACCGACTCCCACAACTACCTAGAATACACCTCCTCTCACCCACCTTCCTGCAAAAAAGCCATCCCCTATTCCCAATTCCTTCGCCTCCGCCGCATCTGCTCCCGAGATGAGGCATTTCACTCCCAGACATCCCAGATGTCCTCTTTTTTCAAGGACTGCAACTTCCCCTCCACAGTGGTCGAAAATGCCCTCGACCATGTCTCCCGCATTTCCCGTAATTCATCCCTCACACCCCTTCCCCGCAATAACAACGAAAACAGAATCCCCCTCGTCCTCACGTACCACCCCACCAACCTCTGAATCCAACGCATCATTCTCTGACATTTCCGCCATCTGCAATCCGACCCCACCACCAAAGACATTTTTCCCTCCCCACCCTTATCTGCTTTCCGGAGGGACCACTATCTCCGTGACTCCCTTGTCCGCTCCACACTCCCCTCCAGCCCCACCACCCCCGGCACTTTTCCCTGCAACCGAAGCAAGTGCTACACCTGCACCTACACCTCCCCCCTCACCCCCATCCCAGGCCCTAAGGAGACCTTCCACATCAAACAGATGTTCACCTGCACATCTGCTAATGTGGTATACTGTATCTGCTGTTCCCGTTGTGGCCTCCTCTACACCGGGAAACCAAGCGGAGGCTTGGGGACCGCTTTGCAGAACATCTACGCTCAGTTCGCAACAAACAACTGCACCTCCCAGTCGCGAACCATTTCAACTCCCCCTCCCACTCCTTGGACGACATGTCCATCCTGGGCCTCCTGCATTGCCACAATGACGCCACCCGAAAGCTGCAGGAGCAGCATCTCATATTTCGCTTGGGAACCCTGCAGCCCAAGGGTATCAATGTGGACTTCACAAGCTTCAAAATCTCCCCTCCCCTGACCACATCCCAAAACCAGCCCAGCTAGTCCCCGCCTCCCTAACCATTCTTCCCACCTCAAGCCCCACTCCCATCTCCTACCCACTAACCTCATCCCGCCTCCTTGACCTGTCCGTCCTCCCTGGACTGACCTATCCCTTCCCTACCTCCACACCTACACTCACCTTTACTGGCTCCAACCCTGCCTCTTTGAACTGTCTGTCTCCTCTCCAACTATCTTCTCCTTTATCCATCTTCTATCCGCCTCCCCCTCTCTCCCTATTTATTTCAGAATTCCCTTCCCCTCCCCCATTTCTGAAGAAGGGTCTTGACCCAAAACGTCAGCTTTCCTGCTCCTCTGATGCTGCTTGGCCTGCTGTGTTCATCCAGCTCTACACCGTGTTATCTCAGATGTCATATATAGACTGGTAGCAGATCAGAGTGCTAGACTGTGTACATGCTGAGATGAGGCAACTATGTAGCATAGGGAAAGCAGCATTAATGGGTGGGGGGGTTTAATCTTAACATAGACTGGGAGAGACAGACAAACACCTGGCAGAAAGATTATGAATTTCTAGAGTGTTTCTGGGATTGTTTCCTACGGTAATACGTCTTGCATGTAACAAGAGGACAAACAATCTAGTAATGAGCAATGTGCCTGATTTAATTAGTGACCTAGTTGTTGGTGAGAATTTTTCAAATAGTTATCATAACATGATTGAATTTCATGTGTGTGCTTGTAAGAGATAAACAAAGATCGATGACCAGAATTTTGAATTTACGTAAGGCAGACTTTAATGAGATGAGGCAGACACTGTCCACGGTAAACTGGGAAGCTCTGCTAATAGACAAAAGAACTGAGTGGAATAGTGGAGGATGCTATTCAGAAGTAGTTTGTACCCATGAGAAGGAAAAGCAGCCTTTTTAAAATTCATTCATGGGATGTGGGTGTTGCTGGCAAGGCCAGAATTTATTGTCCATCCCTAATTGCCCAGAGTTACAAGTCAATCACATTGCTGGGGTCTGGAGTCACGTGTAGGCCAGACCAGGTAAGAATGGCAGTTTCCCTCCCTAAAGGACATTAGTGA